AACCGATGCAACTATCGACATCAATAAAGGAGTTCCATTGGAGTTGCTTGCGAAGTACGGTGTATGTGACTAGGGGCATGTAGGTTGTATTTTGTTTTATATACGATTCTGAAATCTGTTTTATTTCTAAATATCGAAAATTTTACTTTTGTATTTATAAATTGTTTTATGGTTTTAAGTGTTTTAACAGAATTTTTAATTTTTCTGAATTTTTACGATGGTCGCTTTAGTGACCCTAATGTGACACCTCAAATTGGATTGAGTCACCCGCATCGGTCCGTGGGTATTACATCCTCCCTTAAATTCCAGCCAACTACATCGGAACCAAAGTGTTGCTTCGGTTCTTTTGTAGCTGCCAGACCATTTCCAATTGCCTTCTTCATCCGCCATATCCTCAACAGTGACGCATTGCATTCCTGTTGCTCCTGTCGATGTGACATGGTTAATTTGCGGGCCAATATCATCTAGCCACGGGTAAAACCAAAAATCCACCTCACTACCGTTTCGTATGCACCACGTTACTTTCTTTTTCATATCGGACCATATGCACACTAATCCTTTCCAAAGCTTTGAACACCTTGAGGCTCTACTTGTCTCTGGCACGTCCTCTTCCACTTTGTATTTGCCTCAAAAGAACATCACCCAGACCTGGTTTTTGCTTGCCAAAATATTAAAAGCGATTTTCATCGAGAATGCATCATTCTACTGAGACAACTTCCTAAATCCAAGACATCTATTCTTAATAGGTTGGCGTACTCTCTCCCATCTGACGAGGAGTACTCCTTTAACTCCTTCCTTTCCTCCCCATATAAATCGCTTGATAAGAGATTCGATCTTAACACAAATTTTATTCTGTATAACCGCCGACTGCATCATATAGATAGGTAAGGCTGCCAATACAGATTTTGCCAACGTCACTCGCCCGACAAATGATAGAGTCCTCACCTTCCAACAGGATAGACGGTCCTGCACCATTTGAACGAAATACTGACAGGAGGCTGCTGATACACGATCGTGGAGTAGTGGAACGCCCAGTTACTTCCCGAGGTTTGTCACGATTTTGTAACCTAAACTGGTACTAATTCGTCTTCTTGCATCAGGTTTTACTTTCTTGGAAAAGAAACGTGGCTTTGGATACACTTACTTTTTGACCAGAAACAGTGCCAAATTTCGCAAGCACTGAATTTATTAACACACCTTGTTCATTCGTGGCTTCAGCAAATAACACCATATCATCCGTGAACATTAGGTGGGAAACTCTAGGAGCTGATCTCGAGGTTTGAAAAGGTTTCCATTTACCTGTGTCTACTTCGATCTTGATAGCCTGCATACAAGTACAAAAATGTAGGGTGAGAGGGTTCACCTTGTCGGAGTGCCCTAGTCGGTTTGAAGTTTGTAGTCATCTCTCCATTCCATAATATTCGAGTACTTACCGAAGTTACGCATCTTATAATGAGCCTTAACAAAATCTCCAGTATGCCCAAATCAATTAAAGTATCTTTGATGAAATTCCAGTCCAAGAGACCATAGACTTTCTCAAAGTCGATTTTAATAGACATCCACCTCACTCGACCTGTTTTAGTTTTCATAGAGTGAATTACCTCTTGTGTAATGAGAATGTTTTCAACAATGGCGCACCCCGGGACAAAGCTCGTTTGGCTTTCCAACACCCAACTTGGGAGGAATTGTTTCAATCTATTCACTATAATTTTTACTTTTTCCTTGTAAATTATGTTGCACAGGCTAATTGAACGGAATTGATTGATCCGTTCCGGTGCTGGCACCTTAGGAATAAGCACCAATAGTGTTTGATTTAGCTCCTCATGACATTGTTCTGTCTCAAAGATTCCACGGATAAACTTATAAACCGTTTCCCCAACTAAGTGCCAATCTTCTTTTGGTAAAATGCTGCGTGAATGCCATCTATGTCGGGTGATTTTAGAGGTGTCATTTCAAAGAAGACCGACTTTACTTCCTCGGTTGTTAACGACAAGTTTAAATCCTCGACCGTAGACATCCGAGGGAAACGTCCCCGTGGAAAGTCAACTGTCATGCCTGCCTCACTTTGGAAGATCTCGATAAAATTCTACTTCCATATTTTGCAAATCCTCCTTATTTGTGCACCATTTCCCATTATCGGATTTAAGCGTTGTGATTTTATTGTCTCTTCCTCGCCATCACTGACGCATGAAAGTATTTGACGTTCCTATCTATGTGTAGAATCTAATTCGACCCAATTTTTTGATTCTAGAAGCTATCTTCTTTTTCGAGTACGACGTTTAACTCCGCTCACAGTTCCAATTCTAAATCACTTAAATAATCCGGCTGAAAATTCTGTAGTGCTCTGTCGATCCCCCTGAGTCTAGCTAATAGTGTGCGTTTCCTCTTAGCAATATGTCCAAAAACCTCATGGTTCCATGTTTTAGCTTCTCTCATAAAATTAACCAGATTTTCCTTGAGATCTTTCCTTGCGTTCCATGTTTGTTTTTTCCAGGAATTGTTGATATAGTGGGTGATCATTCCATGCTGCAATGTATCGGAATGGTCAGTTTTGCGCCCCACAAAATTCCACCCTATTTTTTTAATAAAATGATCGGAACCTAGTCGGTCTAGATGCAACACAACCGCGTTCAGATATATTGAATTTAATTTTTTATTTGCTAGACACCGATCTAGTCGTTGGTGGAGATTACCCCTGGTCCATGTAAACTATGGTCCTTGGAATCCCATGTCTATGAGTCCAGCTTCAAAAATAAATTCAGCAAAATCCTTATTACCCCTTGTTAATCAAGTGCCTCCTCCTATTCATTCTGCCCCCTTAAGTAAACTATTGAAATCGCCTCTCAACAGTCAAGGATTGTCCTCCTCAGGGTCCAACGACATTAAAGCTGGTCATAGGTTTTTCTAATTGATCTCGTCGGGTTAGCATAAATCGTCGTTATGAACACGCAATCCCGACATTCATTACTGTGAAATCTGTCATGGACAAATTGATTGGATATATTAAAAATTTTCAGTTCCATCATATCTTTCCAAAGTAACCACACACGGCCGCTGAAGCCGTGTGCCTCCACTCTGAACGAATTTGGAAATTTCAAATTTATCTTAACTTTATTTGCTACTGATGCGTGCTTGCAATTGACACTTTTTGCTTGCTAATTCTCTTGTTTTATGAATTTCTCACTACTGATTTGGTTGCATTTGGCTTATTTTCTGTGCAGATAACCTGTTTACTAGAATTAGAAGTAAAAAGGCGCGTTCTGCAACTTTTATTGTTTTTTGTCGCGGTTGGAGGCATAGGAATGACACAGGTCGACATGGCAGTTTTAGAATGTTCAGTCAGCACGAAGATTCTAAAAGTCGCCCAGTCAGCATCATCGAGGAATTTTCTAGGATTTTAGTTTTCAATTTTAAAACTTAAAAACATTTGAATTATTTTGATTTATCTTTTTTTATTATCTTGTTATTTTTATATTTAAGAAGCTTATAAATACCCTTCATGGTAGGGTTTGAACATGTTGCTTTACCTTTGTTTATTTTTCGACATTTTTATTTTAATTAAAGTCTCTATTTTCTTTTCATTTTCCAAGTTATTTTATTTTACAAATCCATGCTAAGTATGATGATCAGTATCATGCTTAGCTAATTTCCTCGTGTCAAGAGCTAGTAATGAATCGATTTTAATCGTGAGAATCAAACGAAGCGTTTAAATTCCTTCGGGATACATTCTCGTTTTTATGGATAAAAGAGGTTAGCAATCGGCCTTGTTCATAATTTTTAAACGTTTTCGAATCCAAAAGTCAACGTTGGTCTGAACGTTGTTTGAAAATACCGTTGGGAGGAAGGATCGGTCTGTGGCACTTCGACTTCATGTGAACACGCTTAGCGATGGTCCGTTAAGGAAAAACGAGATCGGAATCGATTATCGACAAGACAACATCCGAGTCGGGCCTTTCAGTTTTTAATATGAATGTTTTAACGATAATAGATGTGGTTAATCCACTCAAGAATCATCTTTCAAATATAGTCTTGGGAAGATCAGTTACACAAGAGAAGGGTAAGTTACAATGGGTTAGGCCTTGTATAATGTAACCGACATGAACCCCAAAACAAAAATACATCTCTATGATTGAATTAATTGAAACAAAGCTAGCTCAAGGCAGTTTATCTCATCGTAATTTTCCAAAATTATTTACTGCTTACTTCTTATTAATTATTTTGTTCAATTACTTATTCAATTTTACTTAGTTACTTCATCTTAAATTTGCCTACCACACCCTTTTTTTTTATTTTGTTTTGTTACAACTTCTAGAAGAAATCAACATTAATAACGCAAAAATTGTGTATTTTTCCTTGTGGATCGACCCTCTTTCTATACTACATTTTATTTTATTTGAAGAGGATATTATTTTATTTTTGATGAATAAAACGACACTTGTTAAAATTGACGTCGTTCGACGATAAATCTATTTGAAGAGGATATTATTTTATTTTTGATCACCGTTCGACATGAGTCTATTGGTAGTGGTAGCTCGAGTTGGGGTGGTCGGACGGCGGTGGATTGAGACAGTAAAAATGTCGACGGGAAAAGTAAATTTGGGGTTTAGGGATTTTTATTTTTGGGTTGATAATTTGGGGTTAACCGTCGGGAGAAAAAGTTTGTTTTTCAACAGGTAATAAAAATGAGATAATTTGGGTTCAAAGTCTCTAAATTTTCCGCAGGTTTTAAAACCAAGCTATAACTTTTAAAATTGCAATTTGGTCCCCAACGTTTCCCTTATTATTACCTTAATTCGATACTTTAAAATTAATAAATTTTAGCCCATAAATTGAGGTGTGACACTGTTCATGTATTTTATCCTAATTTTTATATAGATTTATGCTAGCAACACATCCAACTGACACCATATACCACTTCTTATAATGCACGCATGCAAATACCTTTCTACAATAAATAATAGTAATAATAATTTCAAAGTAAGCTAATTTTAAAACCTTCATTTAATTAATAGTCGCGCAATCTGGGTAATGAAAACGTACTTCAACAGTAAGAGTAAGAGAATAGCATCTACACTCTACAGCATATGTTTGTGGATGTGTCTATTGTTGTTCATGATAAAGATACAGGCCAAGACCAAATCTAGCACAGGCCCTGCAGAATGCTATTTCTTCTGCTGCACTCACCGGATCTTCTCCTATGCCGATGTCACTGCTTGACACCGTGCCTGTTGACTCTCGATGTGCCTTCATAACAACAACAGTAAAGACCATCACACAAGCATTAACTCAAAGGACTAACAAAATCTGAAATCTAATCAGATTAGTTTTAAATGGAAGTTCAGAAGTAATCTGATATTAATACACTCAATTTTTTCCCTAAATGTCCCGAATATTGGAGGATCAAACCTCCATATCCATGTCTGTTGGTCACACATAATTCAAGGGAAATGAATTTCAGAACAACACAGTTGACTATAATGAAATCCTTAAAGATAAATGACGTTATTATTTTAGTAGTTTTATCTTTCGACCGGGAATAATATGGGATTGTGAGTCTATATTGTGATTTTATAGATTACAGGACTACATATTTGAGGGAATTTATTCTTCAAGGATGATTTTGAAGTATTGAATTTGAGGCCCAACAAATTGAACAGTGATGGTGGATTTCTCTTATGATTCTACGAATATGGTAATTTGGTGTCTCTTACGTCTTGGAAGAACTTATAATGAAATTGTTTTGTATAATCATCTAATATAATTCCAGCTTCTTGGTCTAGTCTGATTCAAGCTCAGACAAAAACTAAAGCTTAAGAAGCTTGCTGTGTCCAATGTGACAACAAAGACATAATCATAACCGATTCAAGCAAAGCAAAGCTAGCTTTTATTGAAGTTTAAGCAAAGCTACATCACCAAATTTTTGGCCCATGTTGTTGCAACCCAACTAAAAACCAGCAACTAGTTTGTATGAAGGCACTATCATGTGCTCCCCGTAAAGGGAAGTGGCACTAGTAGTGTGCTATGCTATAAATGATTTTGATTTTTCCTCATCAATGACAATAGGTTTGAGCACTTATATGAATATTGTGTTAAAAAAATTTGATGAGCATATTTCCAAAGAAGATAAGTTCAATATAAACTATAAAGAAGATAAAATGATAACAAGAGGAACAACAAAAAGACGAAAAAAATTAAAATAGTACTTTCTCAAATGTCCTACTTCGGAAGGTGTGATGCAATTAAAGAATTTGATGTATGATGGTTATGGTTTTTCTTTTCTGGGTTGGTTGTGTAATGCAATCAAGGAACCCAAGGTATGAATCTTAGGGATCGTTTGAATTTTTATTTCCCTTTCACTTCATTTCCCATAAGCTGCCATGGATCAGTCTTGATGTGCTCCAATATACAATCTATGAGAATCCCTCCAGGAACCCCGTCTTTATCTGGCCTTCATATGACCACTAGTTTCGTACAAAACATCCCTGTTTCTAAGTTCCAAAGTGCAGGCCATGAAAGCAACCAACATCATCTAACACTAAATCAGAAAACATGGAACTAGATTGAATAGAAAACCTTAATAACAATTGTAAGAAACTCAGTCAAGATAGCTCCTTACTAAGAAAGGTATTCTTTTTTGCTTATATTTCTCAATGAACTTAATGCTCAATGCTCCATTTGGGAACACAAATTTGAAAATTTGGATTTCATTTGCTATGTAAATTATAAGAATGAAATGCATACATCAAGGATAAATAGTTAACATTCAATATAATATACAGATGAAATGTTTAAAACCATGTATTTACCAAATACAAGAAATATACTAGGAATTTCAAAATCACTACTGAATGGGCAACTAACAAATACATGGATTTCAGAACTAATCATAAATGTTATTCTGAAGGGAGGTCCTAGATTCGAGCAGCTACTTCTATAGGGTGTGTGAGCATTTTCAATAGGGTAAGAAAATTTTTAACATATAATACCTTATAATCACCCTAGACTATTAAGAAAAAATACTCATTTATACTATCATTGAAATCCAAATCCTAAACTCTTAGTTCCCAAATACTATGAGGCCAAAATGTAAAATGTTAGGTGTTCGTAGCGAGGATGATGTTTTTAACACAATTATTGAATGCAGAAGGAAGCATACCTCTCCATCAGATCCTCGAATGGTGAGTCGATATACAACAGTGATAGTTCCATTCTCAGCAAATATAACATCACGCACTTCTCCACACCATCCTGTGAGAAAGATTGAACCCAATAATTGTTAATGATTTGAAATTCAATGAGAAAATCCAAGGGAAAAGGGAAAAGGGCAAACCAGGGGCGTAGAAGCTCAACATGCGATTGGCATGGTACCTGTGGCGATCAAAGCAGATCGAGTCAGATCAGATCAATTGGAACATCAATAAGAAGATTCCGAAATTAAAAAATCGAAGTTAACAGCAACAGTACCAGGGGATGAAGGTGTAAGAAGAAGAATTCGAAGGCGGCTTGACGACGTTATCAGGGATACGCTTGTTGAGGTCGCGTAGGATTTCGACGAGTGGACGAGTGATGTACGAAGAGTTGGAAGGGGAAAATGACTTGTTGAGAGGCACGACGTAGTTCGAATTTGGGAATCCCTTTTTAGCATCGCTGCTTCCATTATTGCTGCTTCTGCTGCTGCAATGGAAAAGGCCGAGGAATCGCGATCTCCGCCGGGTCTCAGCCGCAATTAGCAACCGGCAATTCATATTGCTACGGTGATCGTTGGAATCGGACACTATCTGCGGTGACCATTGCGAGAGGAAGCCGCCGCCGATTCGCAATTGCATAGCCATTTTCCAATTCTAAAGCTTGTTTGGCCAAATGCTTCTGCCCTTTTTATTATTTATTCTCTTGGCTTGGTGTGCCACTTGTATTCCATTAAAATGAAAATATTATAACCATCTAATGACGGACATGATTCTGATTGGGGTTGTTAGTATTTTTTTAAAACCCAGTGAAATAATAAACGAGAAATGAAAATATTATTCAAGTTGCTATTACTTTTTTTTGGGGTAAAGTGCACAAATGGTCCACCAACGATAGGTACTCTTTATTAAGTCTCCTATTATTATAAATTGTAAAATGGTCCTTCAATTATATGACATTATTTAGTTGAATCTCTAGACTATTCAAACTTAAAAAATGATCATCTAACTATTCATATGTTCTAAACTCATCTTTTTCGTTAAAAAATTGATGATAGTCTAAGTTGGACGTTAATAGATTGATTAAGATATGATGACCATTTGATATTTTAAGATTAGATTTTATCATATCACAACTAGTAGGTTAACGATCAACTCAGACTATTGTCAATTTTTTTAACAAAAAAATATGAGTTTGAAATATATGAATAGCCAAATGGTCGTTTTGTAACTTTTAATATCCGAGGGTCTCAACAAAGTAATACCATATAGTCAATGGATCATTTTATAATTTTAATAGTCGGAGGACTCAAAAAAATAATTTCTTATAGTTTAGGGTTTATATACACTTTAAGAAATCATATGATCATTGATTGTTGGCTTTATCGATCAACTGAAATAGCCAAAAAGGGGGTGAATTGGCTTTTAAAAACTTTGTTGTGGAAGCTATAAAAAATTAAACCTTTGCACAGAAAATTTAGAGTGATTCGACTTTCTAAACCAAAGTCTATATCCACTACCTTAACATCCACACTAAGGATTTCTCAAGTCCACTAAATTTGCAAATCTTTAAGGACAAGGTGTAACTTTACAAACACTTCAAGGTTTATACCCCAAAACCTTGAATACACATTCTCCCAAAGAGTAATTACAAATTTAGAAAACAAAAGAAAAACTCACAAAGGCAAATATGTTTGTACAAATTAAGAACTCACCAAAGATCACACTTAAGCAAATTTAACAATGTAGCTCACAAATTTGTTACAAATAATTTAACAATTTTTTCTTTAAAACTCTATTGATGTTGGTTTGATCTTGCAATTGACTTTCTTTTCTTTTTCTCCATTTGAATATTGGTCCCTTTTGTGTTCTAACATCAATCTAGCCGTTTAAAGCCGTTGGGGATTGATTTGAGTCGTTGGAATCATTAATTTTGAGCATTTAATGCTCACCTGCACATTTGGTATCGATATCTGGATGTTGGTAAGACCAAGCATCCTAACGGTCAAATTTATAACCGTTGAACCCTTGGTATCGATGCTGTTTGAATGAGTATCAATACTTAACAACCGATCTTGATACTAGGAGAATGGTCTCGAAACTATAAAGCCTTTTGGGATTTTGGTATTAAGACTGGTATATTGGTCTCGAGATTGGGATGAGTTTTGGCTAAAATACAAGTGTTTTGAGCTTTAGAACAATACTTAACCCTTATGATTATTTTTCACACTTAAAAACACTTTAAAATCGTTTATGACAAATTATTTATAAATTGTTTAATGTAAATTTTAATAACTTAAATCATTTAAAAATTCATGTTATAACAAAATCAAAAGTTGGCTCAACAATCTCCCCTTATTGATATAACAAAACCCTTTGTGAAAATTTTCTTTAGTTTTAAAAGATTTGTCAATTTAGTTTTGTGTAAAATAAAATCTCCCCCTAAGTAAAATAATTTTTGGCTAGCAAATTTTACACTTGCACACATTTCTCCCTCTTTTTTGTTATAACAAAATCAAATTAATTTCAAAAGAGAAAAATGTTAGTGTAATAAGGAACTCAATTACTCAACAATAAACATAAGATCAAATTCTTGCTTAATATAAAATAAACAAGTTCATAAGATAAAATAAGCATAAATTCATCACAAGAGTAGTTCAAACATAAAGTACCAAAATAAAATAGTATCAAAGACAAAACAACATAAATTGCTAAAATAAAATACATAGAGTGCATGAAAACAAGTCATAATGCAATAATCCTAAAAGCATCATAAATATGTCTATTTTTCCAAATACGGTGGAGAAGGAGATGGAGGCATCAAATGATGACGTATCAAACGAACATCATTCTCAAGCGCATCCAAGTGAGCATTTATGTTCCCGAAGCTTTAAACCATAAAACCATACATGGTCTTCATCGATATCTCCTCTTGAGGAGAGGGCATCGATGGCTAATCGATTTCATCTTCTTTTTCCTCAACGATGTCCTCGAGATGTCATCTAAAAGAACTCTACTCACCAGTTCTTACATCGAAATCCCAATAGGCCTTGTGGGCCAATTTGAGATCGATGATACTAACGAGAGAAGTGGAGGGGTCATAGACGGTGGGCACTTTAAGTTTTTCCCTAAATATGTAACTAAGGATACAACTATAGGGAAGAGTTTTGACATAGTTTTTCCCTTTAGACACTACATTGACAAGTTCAAAGAAAATGATCATGACAAAATTAGGACGGATGTCGTTCTTGATATAATAAAACCACTAATAATCGCAAGTGCACATATAGGTAGCTTTACCACCAGAAGGACGGAAAAACCATGTAATGAAAAGTAAAGAGAGATGATTGGGGAACTCGAGAGAGGTAGGGCTATCATTTGGAAATCGCTCCACAGAAATATGTGCATTTCCTTAAAAGGACTATCATCGTTATTAATTTTTAAGAATGAGGCAATTGAAATTAGACTAAGAGTGAAAGCTTTACCCATTATGAGGCAATTTAAGAATGACTCAATCCCTATAACTCTGTTAACATTATCCTCCTCATGTATTATGAAAGCATTTGAAAAGAAAGCACAAACAAGGTTAGGATTAACCAATGGAGGAATGATAAACAAGTTTAACCAACCCCAAGAGACAAAAGTTAAAAAAAAAAGGAAATTGATAATCCTCAAACATAAAAAAGTTTGGATCGATGGTACATTCGATTCCAAGGGGTTTAATTTTAGAAAAGCTATTGAAGAGTTCAAGGGCATTAGGATCCTGAAAGTAAGCATTTTCAAACTAGCGGTATTTGAGGATTGAACTTGCTTGGTAGTGCCACTAGTCCTAAGACGCTTTAGGTTCGTTCTAGGAGGCATATTGGACAAAAACAATAGCTAATGACAAAAGAGAACTCTTTTAGGAATTTTGTTGAACACTTGGTGGACAATCCTAAAACAATAGTTTAAAGACAAAATTGGTGAATGGGTTAACTTCCTACAAGAGAGGCATGCAAAAATATATCTAATAATCAACCCAATTGCAACTAATTGAACAAATTTTTGCATATATAACAAAAATTTTGAAACCCTATATGTTAAAAAACTATGAATGTTTTTTAACAAAACATGTTTCTAATGTAATAGAAATATGTTCAAAGGAAATACAATCCATTTTAGAAGTAAGAAACAACATAAAAACATGATTTTAACCATTGAAAATAAACAAATTCAAAAATTGTGTAAATTAGTTCATTCGAAAATACCTCAAATATGATGAAAATGATGGAATTTGATGAGTCCCTTGATGCAAATCCACTTGATACAAAGTAAGGATGAAGAATTTGAGTGAAAATGAGTTTTCGTAAGGTGGATTGAGAGAATTTTGAGTTTGGCCAGTTAGGGTTTGAATAAAAAGTGATAATTTTTGGGATTTTTTTTATATAAAAAGGTGTTTTCAAGCATATAGGGGCTCGGTTTCGATACCAAAACAGGTGGTCTCGAGACTCTCTAATTGGTATCAATACTTATAAGGAGTATCAATATTGATTTTGGCTACTATAATTTCAGTCTCGATATTGATGGAATGGTCTCGATACCAATAACCTGGAAATGCCAAAATTGACATTTAAACCCTTAAAGCATTTAAAATAAGCACCTAATGATTTTAAGACTATAAGAAGCACAATAAACTTATTTAGGCACTATATATAAAGATTTGATACTAAATTTAATGTTTTGCTAGGTACTTTACTAAAGTGTATGTTATGGATTTTTGAAGAAATTACTAGCTACAACAAACAAGGTCTAAAACATACCACAAAAAAATTTGAGGCAACAAGATATCAAATTAAGTATATAAGGCCACAAGATTCCAATTCATGTGATATTAACTCCCACTAGCTAAATGTAATAAGGCATTATAAGGGGACATACAATCAAGCACATAAATAAATATAATCACATAAAAACACTAAATTGCATGAAATTGAAACATTTTACCACTTGAAGTAAGGTTGATCTGTTAAGTCTCCCTTTCTTCAAGTTTTATTTCTTAGTGTGTTTCTGGAGTTCAAAATAGTTTGACTTTGCTCACCATAGCTCCAACACACCTACAATAGACAATTATGCAATTTTTGGTACCCAAATCATTTTGGGTCCATTCATGTTAGTTTTGAACAATATAGTCCCCTTAGGTATCCACAGAGATAGGTTGTCCAAATTTTCAGTAGAAAAGAGTCCTTTAGGGACCCATATATTCTTAATCATTTTTCCTTTATAAAATTTAGGGGAATAAGCATGTCTATTGTAAAAGTCATTTTTGACAAAATTTGATTTGGAGCAATCTCCTCTTTCAAATTTACTTTTAATAATTTTGTCAAAGTTAGTCTTTTCTTTCTTAAATCATCAATTTTCCTTTGATAATCCTCATGAACTTTGAAAAACAAGTTTTGCAAGTCTAAATTCTTTTTCTCAAAAGCATTTAATTTTTATTGCCAATCACTGACTTTGCTTTCAAGTTCACTATTAGTCTTAGAAAGTAAGTCATTTTTTATTTTTAACTTTGAATAAATATTTTTGTGTTTTGAAATCATGACTTCACATTCTAATACTAATTCATCATAGGCATCTTGCAAATCATCAAATGTATATGGGTTTGAATTAGATGAGTTACATGGCACCTTTAAATCTTCTTGGTTTTCTATAAGGAAAAGATTGTCTACTTCATCCTTTTCATCATCGTTGACGTCTTTATCACTCCATGTAGCCACAAAAGCCTTATTCTTTGGGTTGCTTGATTCTTTCTTCTTTAAGCGGGGACAATCATACTTATAGTGTCCCTATTTTTTTTGCAATGGTAGCATATGATAGGATCTTTATTCTTCTTCGATTCATGCTTCCTTTCTTTTTCTTTAAATGACACGAATCTCTTGAATTTCTTAAAAAGCATGGACATCTCTTTATCTTATTGGTCATATCTTCACTTGAATCTTCTTTGTGTTCATTGGTGGATTTGAGAGCAATGCCAACATCATTTTTCCTCTTCTTATTCTTCTTTCCTTTGAAGCTTAATTTCATAAGTAAGCAATGACCCAATTAACTCATCGAAGGTGTACAACTCCAAATCCTTTCTTCTTCGATAGTGGTTGTTTTGACTTCTCAGAGTTCTTCAAATCATTGATTATTAAAGTAAATCGATCAGACATTGTTTTTATGTCTTCATTGCGCTTCATCTTGAAGTTCTCATAATTGAGAGTAAGAATGCCAATCTTGGACTTCTTGACTTGAGTTGTTCCTTCGTGAGTGACTTTAAGCTTGTCCTAAATTTATTTAGAATTTGAGCATGAGGACACTCTACTATACTCATCGGGATCAAGTGTACAAAATAAAATGTGCATTTATATGGGTTTGAGTCGAGCTAGCTTTCTATATTCGCTGGTCCATTCCAACATATTTCTTGGTGGAGTAGGTGAACTATCAATGATGAAATCCAAAACCGAGTAATCGGTAGCTTGAATGAACAACATCATCCTATTCTTCAAATAATAATAGTTTATACCATTGAAGTATGGTGGTCTTGTAATGGATTGAGAGTATTCAACATTGCAGGAGCCGAAAGTTGAAGTCATATTTATCAGTTGATAGAATAAGTTGATAAAGCTCTTTTAAGATCTTCACAAGGTTGTAAAATGTTGATTGTAACATGCTCTAATACCAATTATTAGCTTTATCAATCAACCGATATAGCCAAGAGGGGTGAATTGGCTTTTAAAAACTTTATCATGGAAGCTATAAAAAATTTAACCTTTGCACAAGAAATTTAAAGTGGTCCGACTTTCTAAACCAAAGCCTACATCTATTACCTTAACATCCACACTAATGATTTCTTAAATCCACTAAATTTACAAACCTTTAAGGACAAGTGTAACCATACAAACACTTCAAGGTTTATACCCCAAAACATTGAATACACACTCTCCTAAAGGGCAATTACAAATTTAGCAAACAAAAGAAAAACCTCACAAAGGCAAATATGTTTGCACAAATTAAGCACTCACCAAAAATCACACTTGAGCAAATTTAACAATGTAGCTCACTAGTGTGTTACAAAGAATTTGACATTTTTTGCTCTAAAACTCTGTTGATGTTGGTTTGATCTTGCAATTAACTTTCTTTTCTTTTTCTCCATTTGAATCTTGTTCCCTTTTATGCCTTCTAACATCAATCTAGCCGTTTGGAGCCGTCAGAATCATTAATTTTGAGTATTTAATGCTCACCTGCACATTTGGTATCGATACTGAGATGTTGGTATCCAGACCGAAGATCTTAACGGTTAAATGTATAGCAATTGAACCCTTTGTATGAATACTATTTGAATGAGTATCTGTAACACCCTTATACCGATGCGGGTGACTCGATCCAATCTGAGGTGTCGCATTAAGGCCACCGGAGCGACCCATAGTAAAAATCCAGGAAAATTTTAATTTTTTTATTAATTCATTTAAAACCGTAAAATAATTTATAGATAAAATACAAATTCATAAAATCATTTATATATTAAAATAAAATCCACTAACATCCAGTACTAACACAAGTTTCAGACTTGAATATAAAAACAAAACACAACTTACATGCCTCCTAATTACATACATTATAATCCGCAAACAACGGGGGTGAAACTCCTTTACTGATGTCAGTATAAGCAAAGAATCAAACTCTTTAACCTGAAATGGTAAGTAACATAATGAACTTTGGAGAGCTCAGTAATACAGAACTACCAGATGAATGCAATGGGTCATCAGGTATATTGGAAATCATAGATTTGCTTAGTGGGATAGACATCAACAGATTCTATCGATGATTTCAGATTTCATTAGCTAAGTTTTCAGTTACAAATAAGGATTCACGGTCTGAATGAAGTATTTAGAGAGATATATTCAGAAGATTAAATTAGAGAGTCTAGTGTATTCCAATAAAATAGATAAATGTATACAAATCCTTTAAAAACATTAGTAGTTTAAAACATATTTTAAAACCATAATAATACCCTCCAACCGAACACTGATACGCAGTTTCCCCAAAACAACATCCGTAAGGACTTACCCTAAGCACATAGCAAAGGTGCCACCCTAAGGGAGTACCTTGGGGCTTATGGACTTACCTAAGGGTCTACTTAGTTCCGTAAGGAATTACCAGCTTGATCAGAGTTGAACCTCCGTACTCTAGACTCCTACCCATACAATATCCAGTAAACATTAGATTGAGTAGTAACTTTAATATCAAAATCATGATCCAATAGAATATTGTAATGATAATGTAGTTATTTAAATCACATAAATTCCCTCTATTCGTACACAAAAATACAGTCCTCATATTAAGGGAATGTCTTGGGCCTTAAAGCCTACCCAAGGAATATCGTAGGTCCGTAAGGAATTACCAGCTTAATCAGAGCTGAACCTCTATACTCCAAAATCCTATCCAGACAGTATCCCAATAATCAGTTCATATAGTAAACAGTAGATTTCATGACCCATAAATCAGGAACGATTATATTTTCCAGTGAAAATATGTAACCATAGAGCACATATCATGTAGCCATAGTTCATAAATAGTAAATCAATAACTTTGGTAAATCACATTTCAGAATATATAAAACAATCATATAGCACATATGTAACACATTAGAGGATTCAATGATTTTTCAGAGGTACTTGGTATTTATCAGGTAGGGAACCATAAAACTTTTGTAAATTGATAGAATTCTAGAAATAAGATCCCTATAAAATGGGGTTTAATAGCTAACAGATTCATTAGTCATTCGAAAAGTGATTTATCAAGATCATATAATATTCAGATATTTTTCGAAGCAACTAAGTAATTAGGAAGGTATTCCAAATCTTTTACATTAAAGTTACTATAGATTTCAGATATTAAAGGAGTGATTCCATTATTCAAGAAATTAGAGGCATTTTAGACATTTTGGTTTCTTGAAGAATTCTTAGTAATTTAAACCAATGAGAGTGAAAAAACAATTTATATTATTTAGGATTTATATCGAATTATTAGGATTTCGAGTCTAATTAAACTATCCAATCTCAACACTGCGATACTTGCCAATCATTCAAACTGATGTACTTCACCATTATTCACTTCTTAATATCGATTGCTCTAGTTGAACTGATCACCTTCGGAATCATCATTGAATGGATCTTTAGAAGATGAATAGGTAGTCCAATTGTATTTATTTCGTTTCTGTTTTGCAATGGTATCAAGAAATATTGACGTTCTTAATTCGGGGTTCTAAACCCTTATAGACAATAGAATGTATAAGTTCATCAACATTTTCATACTTATCCAAGTCATCCACTAAATTATAGGTCATAAAGGGTTCTTAGGTCATTTAGTATTCAAATTTATCCCGATCATTTCAGAGTTTCCAGAGTAATTCGACCGTTTCAACGATTCAGATATGTACAATACTTCCATTCAGTTCAACTTTGTCATATAATATAATCATTTTACACTTCAGGGGTATTTCATTCATTTCCTTCAATCTAGTCTTTCCATTTATTTAATTTTCTAAACAATTCAAACATAAATAATACTCCCGGTGTTTTAGTCTTTAGTTGTTTGCTGATAAATCAATAATTCTAGGTCTTGTACCTTCTTAGATGTTAGGATCTGATTATTAGAGACTTTCAGAACATATCAAGAATTTAACAGGTGAATCAATAGTTTGTCAGATTAATTACGAAATCAAAGGGTACTTTCACTATCAGGGTCAGTCCGGACCATTTTTACCTCATAGGGGTAATCTTGTAATTTCTTAATCAAGTATTCCCAACATTTAACCTTTAAAGAAAATAATCAAAATTTTGGATCATGAGGTCAATTTATTTACTAACTAATCCCTGAACTTAGAATTATTTCTAATCGATCTACCAATTTCTTTTACGAGCCGTCTGAGTCTTATACAATAATCTGCCTTTATTATATATTCAGTTTGAGTCTAATGATAATTAAATACACCTAATTGACCAATCATTTCCATCCATGCACTTATCAATTATCAATAAGTTCCGAAAAACATACAAAAGGTAGTGGAGTATTATCTCAATTTACGAGCCACACAGGTTAACCAATTAAACTAGATTTGATTTCCCTCGAACTTTAATTCCATGTCTCATAATGTCTTGGATATGGCAAAACCAATTACATTAGAAACAAAACTTAAACGTGAAAATTCGTATTGAATCGGGAGATTAAATGCCAAAAAATAGCTTATCGAGATTGATTTTGTAAAACAAACTTCAGATTCGGACTCAGGATGGCGAAAAACATAAAATATGACTTTAAAAAAAATTGAATTTTTGGTCAAAGTCAACGACTAGGTCAACGGTCAGTCAAAGTCAACAATTTCATTCAACCGGGTTGAGTCAAATCAACTAGTTGACTTAGTGAGTTGACTCAACTCGACCTGATTTGGCCTGACTGGATCAGTTCGGTCTGACTGGACCAGTTCCAGAAGGCTCTTGGACCGGCAGTGGAGCCCTACGTGCACTGCCGGTGTGTGGAGGCATGTACGGCGGTGACGGAGTTCATTTAAGATGGACGATTTCTCCCTGATCAATTACACTTGAATCAACCCATATAAATCATCAACAAGCTGGAAAAACAAGCTAAAGTCATTGGAAACATGTTCAATAACTTACCTCAACGGCTATTGATGACGGTGCGTTGATGATGAGCAAAATCGAATAGGTTTTTTTGCAAGATGTTGACAAGGCTGATGGAAACGACAGTGAGGCTAGCGGTGGCTAGATCGGTGGAAATCAAGGAAAAATCGATCGTTGGGGGGTTTTTGTCGCACGATCAATCATCGATTTGTGGCAAAAGACACGTTACACGGAGCGACAATGCTCGAATTTTGGTCGTCGATCGACGATGATCACAGTGGGGTGGCGGTGTCAGCTACGGTGGCCGGATGATGGAGAGTTGGGGAAGCCGGCGGGGTGCAGTTTAGGGAAGTTAGAGATTTGGGGAAATTGAGAATTTTTGGGTTTTGGGTATTATAACCCGGGTTTTAAACCAATAATATATATATATATATATATCATCATCATCATCATAATCAGTACCCTAGCCTAAACAACTAAGGCATGGGTGACCTTATCCTGGGGACAGGGGTTCGAACCTCGCGACCAACAACTCCTTTTCTTTTCTCTACCTAGAGAAAAAGGAGAAATTTAGGGTTAAGTCCTTAAACTTCATATAACTTTTTAAGACGAGTTATAAATTTCAAAAACTTGCAATTTGGTCCCTAAATTAATTAAATTAATTTATAATTTTTATTTCAAAATGGGGTTGTGATAGTATTGATACTCAACAACCGGTCTCGATACTAGGATCATGGTCTCGTGACTATAAAACCTTTTGGGATTTTGGTATCGAGATTGGTATATTGGTCTTGAAACTGAGATGAGTTTTGGGTAAAATACAAGTGTTTTGAGTTTTAGAACAATACTTATAATTTGTGAAATTACTCAAGAACACTTATGAAATCGTTTATGATAAATTATTTATAAAATTGTAAAATTCAAATTTTGACAACTTAAATCATTTAAAAATTCATGTTATATCAAAATCAACAGTTGGTTCAACATTGATCGACGATGGTTTAACATATAATAAAAGGAAAACTATGTGAATAGTCCCTTTTGTTTTAGGTCTAACCAATTTTGGTCACAAATTTAAAAATTAAGGATACATGGTCTCTAACGTTATCAATCTGTTCTATTTTAGTCCATTAACCGTTAACTCTCGTTAACCTTTTAACGAAATGGTTACATGGAAATTAAAAATTTATAAAAAAGTACATTCTTCTTTTTTTTCTTCTTCTTCTTCTTCACCGAACAACTAAAAGGAAACAAATGCTTTTTCTAAATCAACCCAAAAACTCAACTACCATTATAAGTAAACAAATGAAGAACTCAATGACACAAGAGATAACTTTGCTATGTTTTCATGGCAACCATTGGAGGTTTTTTACAACTGGTCGCCGGTTGATCGTCGTTTCCTCGTCATATGGAAGAATACAAAAACGTGATCGGATTTTCGTTGTTTCAACCGAGAGGGTGGGAAGGGAAAACAATTTTGTAGAGAATGAAAAAATTGAGAAGATAATGATGAACCATAACACGGCGAAGGAAAAAATTGAGGTGAAATCTAAGATTTATGTAAATCCGAAAGAATCTCAATTGGTGGTAAGAAGTTGGGGCAGTTGCACAAGACTCAACCTGTAACTGCAAATTCGATTTCTTTAGATCATGGCAATAAAGAATCTTAATTGCAATTGGACTTTGAAGAATTAGTGAAAACCTATTTAAGGGAAAAAGTCCACAAGAGAAACCTTTAATCAATAAGCCAAACAATAAGACTCCAAACAGATCAAACACGAGAGTTGCATCCATGAAGATAGGGAAAGGGTCAAAGTTACAAAAAGAGATTGAGGATGCTTCTGAGTCATGGTTAGGTAATCCCGATATCGGACCATTGTTACTCAAGCAAGCTAGAGATTTGGTTTCTTCAGGAGATAATCCCTCGAAAGATCTTCAATTAACACTTCAAGCGGCGAAATCATATGAACTTTGTGCCATCGAGAAACCCAGCTTAGAACTGGTCATGTGTTTGCTTGTTACTGTAGCAATATATTGCGGCTTAGGCCAGTACAATGAGGCGGTTCCTCTTATCGAACAATCGATGAGATTCTAGCGATTAAGAAGGCCAAGAACATGCTCTTGCTAAATTTGCTTGTCATATGTAGTTGGGTGACACGTATGCAATGTTAGGGCATCTCGACAAAGCCATAACTTGTTATACCACAGGCCTCGAAGTCGTGAAACAAGTCCTTGGAGAAACAGATCCCAGTGTCGGTGAGACTTGCAGGTTTTTGGCTGAAGCTTACGTGCAGGCGTTGCAATTCGATGAAGTTCAAAAGCTATGTCAAATGGCTTTCGACATTCACAGAGAAAATGGTTCTCTGACAAACAACTTCTTTATGCTTCAAATGTCTGATTACATTTAATATTTGTTTTGCTTAATATGTAACAAAAGTGTGAAAAAAACAAATGACTATAAATTAATAACAATGGCAACCTTTAGTTTTGAGTTTAAGGGATAAAAGTAACAAACATGATTCCTGAATGATGAAAATTAATCAAGATCTAAGTCCAATTTTCACTCTCTATCAAATGTGGAGAGGAAAATTTTAATGGGTTTGTTTTGTATGGTTTTGTCGAAATGAAAAAAAAGAAGAATAGCGTGGATTTTTTAAAATTTTAATTTAATACTTTATTAAAGGATTAACGAAAGTTAACATATCGATAGCGTTAGATACTAAAATCGAACGTATCAATAACGTTAGCAGACCATGTACCTATTTTTAAATTAGTGACAAAAGTCGGTCAAATAAAAAACAAAATAGAGTATTCACATAGTTTATCCTATAATAAATTGTATTTTAAGGTTGATTGTAATGTACAAGATAGTTTTAGGGTAAACTATGACCTCTCAATTATTATTTCTTTCACTTTAATCATTGATCTTTGATTTTGTCAATAAAAATATCTAATTATTTAATTATATCCAAACGAGCCACTTACCATTAATATTTCACAAAGTGTTGATGTAGCAATTAGTAAAATAAAAATTTATATATTTAGTCCTCAATATTTATATATTTGATTAATTGGTCCTAATTTAAATTTAATTCAATAAATTAACCCTTCAATCAAGATGTGTCACGTGTTAACACATGATCATGACATATATTTTTAGTGACACATGTTACCACAAAAATTCCCTAACCACTAAATCAAATGCCTCGTTTGGTTAATTCTTTACATCAACATATCTATTTCATAATATTATCAATGATAGAAAAATAAAAAATATTCAAATGATATTTAACTTTAAATATTTTATAATTTAAAACAAAATTTATGAAAGAGGTGAAGTAACCATGTAACATAGAAATTGAGTATTTTATATTTTTAAACAAAATAATTTAATTATTTTACCAATTGTTTTAGTTATTATATTATTTCTATTAAAACTTTCTTTTTGGTATGTTTATTATTTTTTTAATTTTTTAGTGCTTAATTGTTTTAGTTCAATATTAGAATTTTTTTAGTTATTTTTATCTTATTTTTAAAATTTTTTTTATTTTATTTATCTTAATCTCGTATAAAAATATCAAACTTATTTTGTTTAAAAATATTTTTATTTTTATATTAGTTGATTTCTCCAATAAATTTTGTTTAAAATTACAAATATTATTGAGTTTGGTTTAAAATATTAAACTTATTTTATAATGTTTTCAAAATATAAAAGTATTTAAAATTAAATATTTTTTAAATATTTTTATTTCTTTATTTTCAATTATTAACAATATTATAAAATAAATAAACAAATTTTGGTGTACTTATTTAATCAAATGAGGTGGTTGTTTCGGTGGTTAGGGCATTGATTATAATCCATTCAATCATAGATTCAAAACTAAACAAATCCATTTCATACGTACCTTATTTATTTTCTATCCAATCTGAGGTGAAATGTGTTAACATTTGAGTGGATAGAAAATTTATGGGTTAGGAATACTCTCTTACCTCTTATATTTGCTCATTTTTAAAAGTTAAGCACGTTAGTACATGAGTTTAAATTTTATTTTAACTCCTGAATTTTAGATAAAATATTAATATGATTCTTTTAATAAACTTAAAGTAGTTTAGGGACAAATTATCGAATCACCCCTTACTCTTTGTCTTCTTCACCAACAAGTCTATGTTGAAATTGCTGGTTAGTTCCCTCAACTTTGCAACTGCTCATGATTTCCTCCAAATTGTGTTGTTGGTGATCAGTGCTGAAAAGGTCAAACTGATCTTCATAGTTGACATCGTGAATCTACAATTAAATTTATCCTGAAATGTTAATCACTTAGTGTTATAATTGAAATTTAAACTAAAATTAAGTAATGTAGTTATATTAATTTAAAATTCAATGAATAACACATTATAAAGTGAGTGATAGTTTCTTCGTCCAAACGTAAGCATCCCGAAAAATTGATGAATGTCTTTTACAGGGCCGTGGCTAGGTTGTGGATCCTGTGTAAATTCTTATAAAGGGGTCTTAGATCTCGAATTTATTTTTCTGAAATAATAAAAAATTTACAGTTATATTACACTGGGCAAACCCACTTGCATTGTTTTCCCAAAAATAATTTTGCTTGTTAACGAGATTCGAACTTAGGATCAACAAAATCATGGGTCTAATGATCTAACCACTACTCTATACCTATTTTTATGTTTCTTAATGACAACAACTGATATATATACTCGATTTCGGGGCCCCTATTTTTTTGAGCCATGCGCCGTCACGCGCTTTGCACATCCTCAACCACGCCCCTGGTCTTTTAGAAAAGAAAAAGGTTCCTTGTCTATAAGGATCAATCTTGTGAGTATAATGTCAAAATTAACTTCTAATATTTATCAAAATGAGAGAATATTTTGATTTTAATTGTTTTATTTTATGGTAAAAAAATCACTGACATTTGATTGAATAATCATTTTGATTCTTTTTTTTTTTGAGCATTTGAGTCTCAATATTTCATTTTTAGAGTAAGAAAACTTCAGTTTTGGAGTTTTAACCGTTTGTTAAATAATACTTTCCATCCAAATAGGACTTTTTATCTCAAGACAAAACGTTAAAGACTAAAATGCTCCAAAAAGAATCAACACCAAAATAATCATTTCGATAGATATTCGGGGCTTTTTTTGAATAATCTAAGATAAGTACAAGACAATATCTGTTCAAAGATAACTCTCAATCTTTCAACAATGAACGCTCACACCCCTAATATCTATAGTGCTAGAATCCGAGTCCTAAAAAATAACAACAATTATTTTACTAGCTCATTTATTTACTTAAAGAAAATGACATTGCTTTAGAAAAAGTGGGAGGAAAACTAAAGGCAACTTTGGGTTGACGTGTTAATTGTATCATTTTGGTCGTATAGAATCTACTAAAGTGAGTTTTATTTGAATGTGATATTAATTATAAAACGAACACGATACTAAGAAGAAGAAGAAAAAACAAACAAACAAAACATTTTAAAAAGAAAGCTGAATGAGTGAAGCCTCTAAACGCTTCTCTCCATCATCTCTTGATGCTTCTTGAAAGACGATAGCTTTTGCAGGCGCATTTGTTTGTAGAACCTGGTGATGAACAAGTCCGCAATGTGATCGATCTTGTCTTCCAACCGGAAATCCTCTCCTTCCTCTTTCGAGTTCTTCACCATCTCCACGATGGATCCGCCGTGAGCCACCGCCTTCAACTCCAATTCCTCGTCGAACAAGGAGTGCGTCAGGTCGGGGTATTTATCGTCATCGTCGTCACCATAATTGGACGTGAAGTCGTAGGAATATGGAACAATGGCTTTGCTTTGATCGTCTTGTTCATGCTGATCTTGGTTGATCTCCTTGTCGCCAAGGAGTTCATGGATCCTGTTGGAGATTGAACCGAGCAAAACAGTCTTCGTCCTTTTCATCAGTGTTGAAATGATGAGCCTGGCTTTAGCTTCACTCATTTTCCCCTTGGCTGCCATGGATTTGATTTTGGCAACAGAACTGGACAGCACGGAAGATGTTATCTGCTTCAAGAAAACAGATGGCTTGTTCTTCATAGTGGTTGGATGCTAACTGCAAATCAGCAATGTGTTAATTTTCTCAGTCGATGGATTTATATAGACGTGAAAAAAGGCAATTTCAAGTTGAAGGCCTTCGCTTTTCTATTTTTTACATTTTGGGTGCAGCTTTTGCTTTGCTTTTTTGAGAGTGGGGCGGTGAAAGTGAAACCTCTAAAGCAGGTTGAAGCCAAAACTTCTCTCTTGGGAAATCTAATGTAATCCTAAACACCTGTTGCTACTCTTCATCGAGCTGAAATCATCCTACACCTAATAGACTTAGTAATTGAGGACATTGTAAATCAAATATATTATTAATAAAAAATATTTAAATTATATATTTTATTTAGGTGTCTAATTTTTTTTATTAATATGTGTCCAACATTACAAACGTTACCATTTTAAGCGTCTCCATCGTAACAACCCCTTACTGACGTCGATAGTTGCACTGGTTCAATTCTCTTAACTTGAAAAGGTGAGTAACAGACTGAGCTTTGGAAAACTTAGTAATACAGAACTACCAAATGATGTTGAAGAACATGCAAATAACATATAAGCATATGATTCCTTATTGATTCAGACATCTACAGACTTTTAGGCTGAACTGAGGTCCCACTGATATCTCAGATAGTGAAAGAGAATAAGCTTTTAATTCAGAGGAAATGTTTCGGATAACTGGGTTCAGGAGATCAGAATAAGGTGTTTAGTGTGTTCCCACAAAACCAACGAAAATGTACAGATCATTTTTTAAACAATAGTAGTTTAAAATGTATATTTAAAAACCATAGTAAAACCCTCTAACCGAACGCCATATATATTTTCATAGAATTGCATAACATAAGGGAGCACCTTGGGGCCTGATAGCCTACCCAAGAAAGTTCTCGGGGCCACAGGGCCTACCCAAGAAAAATCTCGGGGCCATAGAGCTTACCCAAGGGTCGCCTTAGGTCCATAAGGAATTACCAGTCGGTGTTGAACCTATACAAGAAATTACCAGCAGTGACTGAACCTGCCAGAGATAGGAATTACCAGTCGATGCTGAACATATACAAGGAATTACTAGTAGCGACTGAACCTCCAGAGTTTTCATACCAGATACCAGAGTACCCCAAATAAAAACATTTTTAGTCAGTAACCAGAGATATCATAAATCAAAGCAGAGATCATAACAGAAATCAAAGAAAAATCCATGTGATCAGGAAACACACTAGAGGTTCCAAATATTATTCGGAGGTACATGATAATCTTATTGGGCAAGGGAAACATAGATCTTCAGTATACAGATGGAATGCCTGAAGTTAGAATCACTATCAGAAGAGTTCATTAACTGACAGTGTAACACCCCCAACCCGTACCCGACTTGGATATGAGTCTGAGGTGTCACATTGACCAGTCAAAGTATATACTTTTATAAAAAAACCATAGAAAATTTAAAACTTTTATTCTATAAAGTAATTCTTTTACATAAAAATATTTAAAACCTTAACAGATTCCGTCAGAGCGTACATATATATCATGACTTGGTTACATGCCAACATACTAAATTATATGACAATACATACTTTACAAAATATTTCTGATCTGAACTTTGTGCGGAGATATGCTGCTCTACGGATCCAAAGCTTGATCTTCTGACTGTTCACACCTACGTGTAAAACACTTACACGCTAAGTCATAGACTAAGTGAGACATGTAAATACATAAAGTAAACTAACAAATGCATGAACATTCCATATAACATATATTATACTTATATACCTATTAAACCCATCACTTGCCGGTTTATCCTTACTTATTTCTTTATCATTGATCCAATTCCATCATATGAGCATATATTGAACATAAACATATAACATCACTTCAACCACAACAATAATTACTTATGATCATATCATACATAATCATATCACATCTCATATCACTATTACCCATATACACTTGTTACCATTATTATCATATAATCATAACTTATCACTTATACATATCGCATATCACATGTACCATTTCACGAGAAACACACATATCATTATATCAAATTATGGCTTCTTTTCAAAGCCCATGCACACTATTGAGAACTTAAGGTACGTGAGTACATAGAGATTGTGCACTATGCTGTCACCACAGCTCGTATAAATCCCACTAGGGGCGCGTAGAATTTGTCCCGAAGGACCACATAGATGTCCCGAAAGACCACATAGATGTCCCGAAGGACCACATAGACCCTCGACTCTTGGCATGGCAACTATACCTATAGCTCTCATAACACATGACATGGGCATTATCTTTTACCTCATTACACATTCACATATTCATATCACATAGTTCTTTCACATAGCTCTTTATCACATTTCATATGATCACATAGTCACGTAGTTTACTTTCACATAGCATTTTCCATGAAATTCACATTATCCATCCTTTTTACACATGATCACATCACATACCTTTTTCTCATATGCATATAACATATTATTTCTTATCTTTTAACATATATTACATATGTATATAATCTTATGTCTTATTATCAATATCTAATCTATTTTATTATACTAGCCTACCATATAGCATTCTAATAGAAGCATATATGGGTCATATTATTTTCATATATATGTTTTATCATATATTTCATGATCACATGACTTATTATCATAATACAAGCATTTACATAGTTCACACATAAAAATGCATTCAACAATCAAACATATGCATTTACTCATATATCATACATCTAACACCATATCACTACATGTTTATGCTTTAATACTTATATCATATAATATCAGAATTGGACTCATCGCAAGTCTTAATTCCTTAACATAACGTACACTTACTATCATGTACTCACCTGGTCTCAATGAACCCTCTTAAACTCTTGTTTCCGTTGCGTATCTTACTCTGTCGACCTATTCGGACTTTGCTTTCGATCGATGTCTACATAATCATGCATTGATACTATCAGTATCTAATTAATATACTTTAATCTATCATTTCATAGACTGAATAACGATTTATTTCATTTCCCATTGAAGTGCATCGGTGCATTCTTCAGTGCATCGATGCATTCTTTAACATGTGCATCGATGCACTACCATGCATCGATACACAATTTACATTCGATGTTTCCATTTGAAGGGGATGCATCGATGCACTCCTCATGCATCTATGCACCAACTATACTCGATGTTTATTTATTTGAGAGTGCATCGATGCATATTGAATATGCATTGATGCACACAACCCAGAAATTACATTTTGAGCCCGAAAATTCTTACTTTGACCTCAAATTCTACTTATTACCCCCCCTTATGCCTTAAAACTTATCTATACATGTATCAACCTTCTTATAACACTATAAAACTTTACCATCTCCCATAATCCACCATAATTCTTGAATCAAAGAATTTCATTAAATTTTCCATGTGTTCTAAATTCAATTCTATCACCTTTAACTTCTTAATTAACCATTGACAAGTCAAATCCATCTTTAAAACTTCAAAAACCTCTTTATATCAAGAATTCATTTCTCAACCCTTAATCAAATTCCCTTTCTAATTCTCTCCTTTAGGTGTTTTAAACTTATATAAGGTTTCCTTAAGCTTATATAACACTCATGAAATAAAACCCAACTTAAACATTCAAGAATTAATCATAAAATTAAAACTCACCTTTGAGGTTTGAGCTTGAACCCACGAGAAGAAGAAATGAAGAAGGAAAAGAATAGTTCTAGATCACTCTTCATATCCCACGTGTTTCATTCTTAATAAGGGAAAGAAAATATCTTTTTAAACTAATTACCATAATGCCCTTTACTTATTCTATAATTATGATTTAATCCAATATTGAAATAGTCCTATTTAAATTCTTGAACTTATCAATTTCCTTAAATTGATCCTCAAATTCCAAAAATTCTCAGTTTAGTCACTAACCCGAATTTTAGGATGTTACAAACAGGATCATCAGTTATTCAGAACGTGATTTATCAGGATTATATAGTATTCAAACATTTTTCGGAGGCACCATGTAATCAGAAAGATATTCAGAATCATTTGCATATGAGTTACTTGTGTTTTCAAATATAACATGAGTGATTTCATTATTTAAGAAACCAAAGGCATTTTGGCATTAGGTTCTTAGTGATTTGAGTTGTTAAGGGAGAAACAAAGATTTCAGGGCATTTACGATTTGTGTCGATCTATCATAATGTCGAGTTAACTCGAACTGTACAAGTCTCATCAATGATATCTGTCAACCTGTCAAATCGTTGCACTTCCAGAGTATTCACTTTTAATACAGACAATTATTATCGAATTGATCATCTTCAGAATCATCGCAGAATGGATCTTAGGGAGACAAACAGGTATTCCAATGGTCTTTATTCCAATTCGGCATTGCAACGCTATTAGGAAATGTCGACGTGCTTGATTCGTGATTCAAAACCCTTATGGATGGTACAACAAATAAAATTATTAGTGTTTCCAGACTTATCCAAGTTATTCTCTTAATTCAATATCATCGGGGTACTTAATTCAATTAGTATTCAAGTTTATTCCGGTCGCTTAGGAGTTTCCTAAGTAATTCGGTCGTTTTGAAATTCAAATACTTACAATACTTCCATTTAGTTCAACTTGGTCATAATATATAGTCATTTTATACGAGATTGATTGATTCCTTCCATAGTTGAGGGTATTAGTTATTCCAGGGCTTGGACGTGCTTTGAAACATATTACACTTCAGGGGCTTTCCAAATAAATCAAGAGTTTAATCGGTGATTCCAAGATTCCAAGTGGATAATAATTTAAGTTCTCGAGTCGTATCTATTATCATATTCATCCATAGTCCTTTTACTCTTTAAGGGTATTATCGTCATTTCATTCAATTCTGTCAGTGACATTACTTCGGGTAACTTAAGCTTGAAAGTATTCTAGTTCCATTAAAGTTCAGAGTACTTTGATCATTTGCTCACTGGAGGTTAATTTCACCACTAGGGAAAGTCTTGGTTCTTTTTTAATACACGAACATTTTCGTAATTTTATCCCATGGTGTTATTTTTTTGGTAAAATCTTTCCAAATCTTTCCAACATTTAACCTTGAACGAGATTATTCAGAATTTTCGCGTTCTAGGATTGATTGATTTACTGATTAAATCATTGAACTGAAATTTGTTTTCGATCAGTCTACCAATTCCTTTTTTGAGCAGTTAGAGTCTTATACATTATTTCGTCTTTAATCCAATTTTTGTGTGAGTCCAAAGATAGTTAACTACCCTAATGGACCAATTATTTCCATTCATGCATTTACCATTTATTAGTGAGTCCTGAAAAGCATACAAAAGTAGTAAAGTATTACCTCGATTTTTATGCCATATAGATCGACCATTTAATCTCCATTCGAATGTCCTAGAACTTTAATTCAATTTCCAAAAATTCCTCAGATACATAACAAACGAATTTACGTTAGAAACTGAACTTAAATGAGAAATCAACTTGAATCTGAAGATAAAACATTGAAAAACGGCTTACTAGGTGCGAATTTGGCTAAACGAACTTCAGATTTAGACTCAGGAAGTCGAAAAACATAAAATAGAGATTTTCGGAACATTTGACTTTTTCAGTCAAAGTCAAAGTCAACAGTCAAAGGTATGACCTGTCAAAGTCAACAGTCAGACCAGTCAACAGTTTGACTTGGTCAAAGTCAACGAGTTGACTTGGTGAAATGACTCAATCGAGTTGACTCATTGATTGGACTGGACCAGGTGGGTCGGGTTGACCCGGTTCTGGAAATTTCCCCATACCAAAACAAGCTCCACGCGTACAGCCGGCGCATGGCGGCACGCGGGACGACGACAGAGGCAGTTTCAGGCGACCGATTACACACTGCTCAAGCACTTGACCAAATCAATTCAACAACATCAATAATCAGCCAAAATCATGATTGAAATACCTATAAAAGTGACCGATGACTTACCCACGGCGGTCGAACGGAGCAGCGACGATCCTTATCGGGTTTTGTTCGGAAAAAGACGAGGAGAACAACGGTACAGGCGGTGTGGTCTCCGGGGCTCGAGATTAGTGTGAAAACGCAAGAAACCAATGTGGCCGATGGGTTTTCGTCGCTCCTTTGATCTTCGATTCACGGCTGACGGCGACGTTTCACGGCAGGAGGATGGTCGAGTTTTGATCACCGTTCGACGATGAATCTATTGGTAGTGGCGGCTCGAGCTGAGGTGGCTGGACGACGGTGGATCGAGGCGACAAAGATGGGCCGATGGGGAGGAATTTTGGGGGTTAGGGATTTGGGTTCATTTGGGGAAAATTTTGAGGTTTAACCGACCGAGGTAAATTTATTTTTCATTGGGTATAAAAATGGTAAAATTTGGGTTCAAGACCTTGAACTTTCCAGAGGTTTCAAAACCGAGATACAACTTTTAAAAATTTGCAATTTGGTCCCCAACTTTTCCCTTGTTACTACTTTAATTCGATACTTAAAATTATTAAAATTTAGCCCATAAATTGAGGTGTCACAAGGAGGATTTGGGGGATCAAATTATACAGACGATCAAAAAGAAGACCCTCCAGATGATTAGCTTAGACGCTAGGAAATATGTTGCCGAGTAAGTTGACAAGCATGGCTGGTCTGCCTTCGAACGAATCATCAACATACACATATTTCTGTTCGTATTCGTTCCTTTTTCTTCTCTATTCCTAACGTTTTTGGCCTTTGTAAATTGGGTTTTCAGTCTGAGAAAGAAACAAAGAAACATTAGTCTTTACGATTATCACTGACTGCCATGGAATGCATCAAGTTTCATTGTGGTTATGTATCTCTCAAAAGTGCTAGAAGTGAAAAACTTGTTTGAATTGAAGGAGAAATGTATGTTCAATTCCTGGATATGGAATTTATATCAATCAAGGATTTATGGATCAAGTAAATAATTCATTGAGGTCTCAACTCGTTTTACAAATTTAAAAGTTCTACATACTTTTTACACAGTAAAATATTAAAAAAATGATTGAAATTAAAAATAGAAAATGAAGAAATACTCATAAAAGAAATTTTTCCTTCAATTTGTTTTTTTTTAATTTCAACTATTAAATCTAGCTAATCTAATCATTTAAAAATGGATGGCATTTGCTCCGATTTATAGGCAGATTTAGGGCCACTAGGAGGCCAACTGATAGCCACTATGTCGGTTGTTATCCTTGGCCTTACATTGAGAACGAGATATTGCAAGATGCTTCATCACATACAAATTTCAAGAAGAAAATGGTCGGTGAAGGCATCAATCCACTTTTACAACATTGAGTTACAAATTACAATTACAAATCTTAATTCATGATGTAGTAATTAACTGATGCAAGAGATATTCTTCTGGTTGTTTGCTCTTTATGTCCGTCAATATATATGTATATAAATATACAATCTCACTGGTTGGTGATGGCAGCAAATCATGAAAACTGAGCTTCTTTCTTTAATTGATTCCATGGAACTTGAAAGCAAAGAGCAGAGAAATTCGGCCTCCTATCCTGCTTGGCTAGTATACAGTCCTGTACAATCACATGCATGATTTATAAAACTGGGTGACAAAAAACTAAGGAAAATTATCAGCAGGACGAGAAGACTTACTAAAACCTGTAAATCTTTGTTGATTTCTTCCGAGTCTCCAACGTGTTGCCGCTCTCGGTCAGGGATGCAAAAGGGATGGTTGAATGGATTAACCTTGAGTTGTCCGGATCCACGTTTTGGTTCGGTTGCAGTATGTGCTTCACTCCAGGACTCAATTTAATTGGACTCAATCTTGTCACACCATATGAATCAACATTGGAAGAATCGATCCCAGCTGAAAGTCTGAACCCAGTGCATTGAGACTCATTCGGAATCCATCCTCCAAAGCTTGCTTCAGTCAACCGAGTTGCAGCTCTCGATTCATCTCGAATTCCTAGATTTGTTACCTTCATGGGATTCATTAGATAATCTTCTTTAACTGCAGGCCCCTTCCTTGCCTTATGGAAAATATCAGGTTCCTTACTGCTGTCAATTTTTTGACTTCATTCTGTCTTTGAACTTGGTTCGGTTCCTCTGACTTAGGTCAATAGATGTTGGTTTAACTAAAGATGGTTGCCCAGATGAAATTTCCATTTGTGAGTAAGAGATCATCGGATTGCGATCATAAGAAACTATTGGAAAACGAGGAACCGAGCGGTTCATAAGAGAACTAGTTTGAGCAGTATGCAGACAATGTCTACCACCCACATCAGGAAACAGTTGAGAAGGTGTACTAGGTGCCTGCACTTGCTGTGTTGCTTGTAATAACCATGGGATCAGGCTCTTCGAGGATTCTGGACACCAATATGGTTGGACTTGTTCAACATGATCTGGGTGCAAAAAGGGAAAGTTGAAAGATGACCTTCCAGCATTCGGTAGGTTCTGGTTGTTTTCGAGTTCAACAGAATACCCGTTTATATTCTGATAGTTTCTGTGTGAAGCCGATACTGCAGGTTGTCGCGAGGTAACTCTTAATGCTTCTGTTCTTGATAAGAAAGGCTCATGGGAGTCAGCTCCATTGTCAAATATAACATGGGATGTGTGTGGATGAGCCAAATGGTGTGAGATTGGACAAGGATCTTGAGCAATTGTAATGCTGCTGCTATTTCGAAATTCCGGATTTGCTTGCCAGTTGAGGCTTGGTTTAAAGAAATTAGATTCAAGAGGCTTCATGAGTGCATTGCTGGGAAAGGCCTGCTTGTTCATTATTTCAAATTGTTGAACAGGTACTCCGTTACACATTCCTGATGCTGAATCCAGAAGCCATTCTTGCTGAAAGTGTTTATTAACACAGGAACTCTGAAGAGCAGTACTTTTAGGAGCATCTGCAAATCCTTGCCTCTCATCACTACTTCGATAAACTGTAACATCTTTTCCCATCAACCTCATTGTTGGAGTGGCACTATTCAGTAACATCTTCTCCGCAGTTTTGGTTGCATGGCTCATGTCTTTTTCCTTTTGGTTCCGAAACTGGTCATATCGTCCGCATCCACTGAAAGATATGTTCATCGGATTTACGTCTGAATACACCAAACAGTCAAAGCGGCTGCCTCTCCTATCAGAATTTGTAAAGTAGCCATCTTTTCTAAGGTCTTGTAAATCTGCAGCCCCTAATCTGGCCGATAAATGTACGGTAGCATTTCCTTTCATGTGATTCTGCGCAGGAAATAAATAGTTCGGAAGTGAACATTCAATAAAATGCTTCTCTTTCATGATTGAATGATCATCCATTCCACGTGGCAAGAGGAGATTGTTAATGCTATTGGAAGAACCTGGCAAGAGGATATTGTTGATGCTATTGGAAGAACCTGGTGTTGGATTCGGTTTCTTTAGCTGGTTGAATCCTCCTTTTCCATTTGAATTGTTCTGGACTAGTTCACCTAGTGAATTTAGAGGCAAGCCAAAAAATTCCTCATCCCGGCACTTTTCTCTTAAGGCAACTTCCTTCAATTCACGGTCCGGAAGGGTACACAACCTCCCCCTCAGTTCACTAGGAGTCGGCCAATACACTAGCTGATGAGACAAAGCATGACCAGAAACATTTTGTGAAGTGAATTGTGATGGAAACGGGGAAGTTCCATTTGCATTTTTACTCAAAGCAAAACCAGATGATGAAGGATGCAAAGATGCCCTTGGATTTGCCTTAGAAGAACTTGTAACAACTTCCTGGGTGCAATCTCCTAAATAATCAACAAATTGGGAACTGCATTTCAAAGTTGTTGAAACACCGCCACCTACTTGAGAGTTGGCAAAAGGATTCGGGATCTTTTTCACTGCAGAGAAGTGTCTAGGAGCCACGGCAAATGGAGGGTTATGAAATGCAGTTTGATTACCTTGGTTAGACATATGCAAATTACCAGAATCTAATACAACTTGACCTGGACGCAAAGATCGATTTGAAAAATGATTTGCTTTTTCTTGCACCAAGATACCAGGTCCGAGAAATTTTGATTTATCAGCATTATAATGCATATCAGGCCACAGTTGCTTCTCCTTTGCATCTTGCACCCTGATCTCATTTTCTGTGCTAAAAGAAACATCCTCGTCGTCACTTGTGTTTATCTCTCTAGTCTGAAATTCTTTATCATCATCATTCTTGTGACCTTTCTCCAACAGCTCATCTGAATCCGAATCAACATGGCAGATATTTTCCCCGAATGAAGCAACATGTTTCTTATGTGGACCAAGTATGTCATCCTTACCTGAGAAACTGACATGCCTGACTGAATGTTGGATGCCACTGGGGCTTGCTAGAGTAGTGACCCTCGTATTACACGTTACAGCATTTTGCCCAGAAGTACATTTGGCCTGGTTCTTGAGAATGCCACGAATAGATGAACATGGCTTTTCACACTCTACAATTAGTTGCGATGCTTGAAACACCTTGCTTTTCTTCTTTGCAGACATGCATTTCAGACTTGGTTTCTTTCCAAGGATAGCAATGGCATTCGAGCCCCTATTGCACAGTGTATTTGCTTTCCTCTTGAAATTGACAGGAGTTTGCAGCTTCAGCTTGGCACCATTTTCCTGAGACACGAAAACAGAAGCATCATCATGCCAAGTATCTTATTCCGAATTTGATATTTATTCAAATAATATAAATTTGAAGGTACGTACTGCATTCTCAGTAATTCATTTATTTTCTTACTAGTGATTAGTTAACACCAGCATTCTTTTCCTCTTGCGGCCCTATGAGAGTACAGTTTTCGATGGTAACATCATGCATATAACAAAAGAATGCCCTTTAATTGTATAGACAAAAAATGCCTAAATGCACTCATTAAAACACTACAAAGGAAAAACAATGTAATGCTACATGAATGTTCTCAAACAACCCATTGCAAAACACTTCTGCTAGAAGGAAACATAGTAAGCCAACTACCTAGGAAGGAATCTTCCGCCGATCGGTTTATACTTGGAAGAACATTCTTATTTGTCGTATTAATTGCATTTCAACAGTATGTTTCACAAAGACACAAACCTTACAGATAAGACTGCACAACATCGTACACCAGCACAATGCAAGAGTATCTCAAGACTTCATCATCATTTTGATATTTTTCCCCTTTCCGACAGAAGATCTTTCATACGTGTTTTGGGAAGTGCAACAGCATAAATGAAATATTACTATTTCCTCATGCTCTAACCAAGATGCTTATCAATAACTAGTGTAACTTATAAAACAAGACTGCTCATATTTTCAGCTATCACATCATCTACAATGAACATTCTGTCAATATTTTCATCTCAAAAGTATCTTTATAGCCATGTCCCTATACTTTCCATCAACACTTCCTCATCAAGCCAACGGAAAAGGCTTGTGCTCATATCAATACGCCAAAAGCATTTTCCCGATAGTTAGAAATTCCACCTACTATACAAAACAATGAGCGAAAGTCCATGCACGAGGCAAAAAGGGTGACTTCACCCTTAAATGATCAATAAAACCACAACCCGTACCGATTAATCCAACGTTTCTTCCATTAACACAAAGAAGAGTTACAAAAAACTACAAGAGACTCATAAAATATGAACAGACTCTATCTCATTATGCAGCTGGTAAGCATCCGATGACATACTCCCAGATCCGCATTTGGCATCATCCATATACTGGCTCACAAACACATAGATTGCATAAACAAAGAATTACCATAGCCAGTTCACATTTCCCTCATAAGATCATGACAACAATTTAACAATGCTCCATATCCTAGGCAATTTTCCAGACCACATTATCATCAATCCTAGCTTATAGCTTAGACAGGTCACCTGAAATTATTATTGAAGTCCTTCCCTAGTGTCCATAATCTATAAACATCAATAATGAGCAACTCCAATAATAGGTTGAAACACTAGCCATTAGATCAAAACCAAGAAGAGTTACAAAAAACCACAACCCGTACCGATTAATCCAACGTTTCTTCCATTAACACAAAGAAGAGTTACAAAAAACTACAAGAGACTCATAAAATATGAACAGACTCTATCTCATTATGCAGCTGGTAAGCATCCGATGACATACTCCCAGATCCGCATTTGGCATCATCCATATACTGGCCCACAAACACATAGATTGCATAATCAAAGAATTACCATAGCCAGTTCACATTTCCCTCATAAGATCATGACAACAATTTAACAATGCTCCATATCCTAGGCAATTTTCCAGACCACATTATCATCAATCCTAGCTTATAGCTTAAACAGTTCACCTGAAATTATTATTGAAGTCCTTCCCTAGTGTCCATAATCTATAAACATCAATAATGAGCAACTCCAACAATAGGTTGAAACACTAGCCATTAGATCAAAACCAAGACTGGCCCCAATAGCTAAATGATTATCTTTGATACAAAAAAAGAAGGGAAAAAATATTGCAACAGTAATTAAAAGAAAACAACAGCATGAGTACTCTAGGATAGATATGCTAAATCTAGGACAAGAAACCTTTAGGAAATGGAAGACATTTCTGTCCCAACTCTTATTGTACAGCTGGAGCACCACAACTCACCTAAGCTCCCATAATAACCAGCTCAAAACTTCCCAAACATGAAAACTCCGTCTCTTTCTTTTTACTTTTTTCCCCTCTCTTTATGCTGCTGATGAACATTATTGCACACAACAAGTACAATTGCAAGGTAGCTGCTCAGTGATCTCAGTCCTCGAAATGAAGACAGTCTTTAAACAGTTTTATCAGCAGTAATTTTATTGAAATCGGAAATGAAGAACATATATTTGTACTACACAGTACATGAAGTAGTTCAAATTGCAATTCATCATGATATGAACAACAATGAAAAATAATGCTACAAAATCTTAAAAATATACAGATAATGAAATCAAACGACTCAAGATTGTAATAAAGCACATAATAAGCAATATTTTATGATGTAAATAACATACCTTGTTAACAATCATCAGCCCATTTTGCTTGTTATTCTTCTTCTTCTTCAACTTCCTCCTTTTGTTCATCGACTTTTTCATGATTGCCACTTTCTTCTTCTTTGGATCATG